AGAGAGACAGAAAGCGAGAAATCACCCCCCAGGGGGGATGGCCACGCCGCAATCCCTTCTCCTCCATTCCCCTCTCGGGATCCTGGGCACGCAAGCACACGCGCCCGGCGTGAGTTTAAGCCACCGGGTCTGGGACTCGAACCTCAGTCGACTACGTGGGAGTCCAGCGACATAGCCATTACGCTAACTGCTGGTCCCGCCATTTGTTATTTTTTTAAACTTGTCCAGATAAATAAAGAGAAAGGGAAAGCGAGAAAGCAAGGTGTCAGGCCTAAGACTCAGACCTCAGTCAGCCTTGTGGGAATCCAGTGGCTTTAACCACCATGCCACTTGCTGGCCTCCCAACTATTCAGTTTTGAGCAAGATGCTTTATAGGGTAAATAAATGTTTAAGGAACATAAATAAGAACTTAGCTTACTGCTACTTTTTAAGGACTTGGAAACTGTAATATTTTCTGTATTCTCTTTCTAAATTCCTCATAATATTACTACAAATTAAGAATTAAAATTGGGGGCCAGGAGGTGGCATGGTGGTTAAAGGCACTGGACTCCCACAGGGCCAACTGTGGTTCAAGTCCTGTGCCCGGTGGCTTGCTTTCTCGCTTTCTCTCTCTCTCTCATTCTGTCCCTATGATAAATAAATAAATAAACAAATAAAATAAAATGATTCTTTAAAAAAAATTAAAATTGGCGATTTTGTTTTGCTCCTTATTAGTCAAACTTCATGTGTTCTATCTCCCTTCTCCTCCTCTCCCCTCCACTCCTTCTTTTCTTCCCCCCCTTCTTTCTTTCTTGACAAGTTAATACCCAAGGTATTAAGTGGTCAATATAGTTAAATAAAAAATCTAGTCATCTCTTCTTCTAGGTCAGGGGACTGAGCGGTGTTGTGGATGCAACTCTGTCTCTGTGCATGTTTAAGAAAAGTTTGTTTGATGTCATATAACAATTTATAAAGATCATGGACACTCAAGATAGATTCATTACTGGCTTAGTTACTATTTGACTTTAGGTCTTAAAGTGCATTCTTCTCATCTCTAATACAAGCATATTAGTAAAATCTGCTATATAGGGTTTTTATTGGAATTAGAAAAAAATTAACAAATTAACATATTAGGCTACCAATGACAGGTTACTTTTATTATAATTATTTTAATAAGATTATAATATAATATGTGGATATACACATATATGTAACACATACATGTATATGTATGTGTATGTATAATGTGTAATATATATGCATATTATATATAATAATTTCATTGTTTTATTTATATACATTTTTATTTAATTTTCATTGAATTCTAGTGACAGTTTTATAACAGAGCATATAAAATAATTTTAAATGTACCTTTTTGTTTGTTTTCTTTTAAGACTTTCAAATGCTTTGGCAACCAGCATCAGAAATTACAAAGGTAGATAAAGCCGCCAGAATAATTCAGCGTGCCTGGAAATGTTACCTTGTGAGTTTATTTAACAACTTTACTGAGATATAATTCATTTATATATCATAAAGTTTACCTGTTTAAAGTGTACAATGCAATAGTTTTTAGTATATTTATACAATTATGTGCCACCTTTCACTTTAAAAGCAGACTTTTAAAAAAGTTTAATTATCTCATTGGTTTTGGAAGTATTTATTGAGTTCATGATCTGAGCCAGTCACTTTGGCAAAAGCTGCTATCCATGAAAGTACCTCTAATATGCTAATTGACTTTCACCTCTAAACTGTGTTTCTTAACTCTAGAATTAAGTTTGTGAGCAGGTATTAGGGATATATTCATGTCAGTGAATATTCCTACTTTAGAGGAGCTTAAAGTTAATAATATTCCATATCTGGGTTAATGTAGTTACTTGTCATGCCCTTATATGGGTAGCATTGATCTCAAAGGTGTAAGAAATATTCCAAGCTGACTTACCTGGTTGACTGAGAACCAAGAGCTAACGTGACTTCACACTATTCTCTGATAGCAGCAGCCCTCTTACTATGCCTGGTCATTTTGTGTGAATTGGTGTGCCTTTATTTCTGGCCCAAGAGACCACCTTTGTATCAATTAATCAAACTTGCAAAATAGCTCTCATTATTTGCCCTCTTTACTAAATCTATAAAATCTGTGCTGGGTCATAACTATATTAATTTCCAACACTAAAATAATAATTTTCTTTTAAAAGCTACTCTTTATGTTAACAAATGTTGAAATTATAAAAATTTATAAAAAATTCAAATTAAATGTTGAAATTATTAAAATGACCTATCATTTAATGTAAACATAAAGCTGCTCTTTATGTGTACAAACGATGAAACTGAAGCCTAAAGATGTTAAGCTATTTGTCCAGTGTTACATTTAGTAATAGTCTGAACTGGAATTAAAACATCTTCTGTGTTTTGAAGTTCATTACTCCTCCTTTTTTGGTCATATGTAAGAAAACTACCATAAGATTTGTTTCTTACAAATCTTATGTAAGGAAATACCTTGTGTTTCATTTCATTATGTATTTTGAAGAGTAAAAATGTTTTAAAAGCTACTTTTAAAAGCTATTCTTTTATCTAGGCTAAATCTTCTCTGTCACTTGCAACTTCTTTTTCTCACATCTAGCCACACATCTTTGAATATCTATTATATTCCTAACATTTCGCTAAGGATTTCATAATACATCCTTGACCTTAAAAGAGCACACAAACACATGTTCCCAGTGTGAGTTTAAGACACCGGATCTGGGATTCGAACCACAATCCACTACATGGGAGTTCAGCGACATAGACATTATGCTAACTGCTGGTCCTGAGGTGGGTATACTTCTAAACTCACTTTATGAGTGCAACATTACTATCCTGATGCCAAAGCCGGAGGACACTAGAAGTCAAGAAAATTATAGGCTTATTTCCTAATGGGCATAGATGCAAAGATCTCAACAAAATTTTAGCAAACTGAATTCAACAGCACATTGAAAGAATCATTCACCATGATGAAGTGGATTTATCTTTGGGATGCAAGGATGGTTCAATGTATACAAATCAATAGATGTCCAACCACATTAATAGGGTGAAAAAAAAAACTGTATGATTGTCTCAATAGATGTTTCATGTATTTTACATTTCTTGCCCAAAAGAATGTTTTATTTTGTATTGATATAGCCACCCTACTGTCTTTTGTTTAGCGTTTACATCTTTTTTTTTTTTTGGAGAGGTTTTCGCTATAGGGCGCGTGCGCTCGCCAGACAGAGAGAGACAGAGAGATAGAAAGCGAGAAATCACCCCCCAGGGGGGATGGTCACGCCGCAATCCCTTCTCCTCCATTCTCCTCTCGGGATCTTGGGCACGCATGCACACACACCTGGCGTGAGATTTAAGCCACCGGGTCCGAGACGCGAACCGCGGTTGACTATGTGGGAGTCCAGTGACATAGCCATTATACTAACTGCTGGTTCCCGAGTTTATGTCTTTTTTTATGCTTTTACTTTCAAATATTTAGTATATGTTTAAATTGTTTCTCCTTGAGAGGAATGGAAGTGATTGTAGCAGAGAACAGATTAGGATAAATTGAAAATTATGGCTAAAAAAATTTGCAGTTCCTCCCTTCCCATCAATAAATAGTCTGTTTCCCTATCCTATGACTTTAAGTTGGCTTCATGACTTGCAGTGACCTGGAGAATGTGGTAAAAGTGATGTTGGTAAACTTTAGAGTAAAATATCTGGATAAATAAATTATGGTATCAAAAGGTTGCTGGTTTGTATCTGGAGACCTCCCTTAATATGCTGGGCATTCATGTGCCCATGCTCAGGGCTGGCATCAAGATTGTGGCATCAAGACCCTGAGGGGAGGGGGCTATATCTCTGTTTCTCTGTCTCTCTCACTCATGGAATAACTAAAAAAAAAAAAGCATAGTATATCTGTAACGTAGAATGTTTCACAGCATTTAAGAACAATAAATTGGATCTATTTCTGTCAAAAAAATTGAGTCTCTTACAAACAAAATATAATTGTGTCTAATATCTCTTAATCATAAGTAGTCTTCATTTTTTTTTTTTTGAGAGATTTTCACTGTAGGGCGCGTACGCTCGCCAGACAGACAGAGAGAGACAGAGAGACAGAAAGCGAGAAATCACCCCCCAGGGGGGATGGTCACGCCGCAATCCCTTCTCCTCCATTCTCCTCTCGGGATCTTGGGCACGCACGCACACGCGCCCGGCGTGAGTTTTAAGCCGCCGGGTCGGGACACGAACCACGGTCGACTACGTGGGAGTCCAGTGACATAGCCATTACGCTAACTGCTGGTTCCCAGCAGTCTTCATTTTTTTAATTGGCAAGTTTATTTGTATTTATTGTAATTACTACAATATATTAGTTAGGTTTAAGGCTGCTATCTTGATGTTTGTTTTCTTCTGTCTGGTCTGTTCTTCCTGTACTGTTCTTATTTTTTTCATCTTTATATTAATTCAACATTTTAAATATCTCATTATTTTCTTCTCTATAACTTTTCTTTAAAGCTTGTTTCTTTTATGTGAGTGAGAGGCAGAAAGAGAAAGAGAGAGAGAAGCACCCTCAGTAGGGTCTCATGCTACAATCCCCTTTAACCTTCCCAACCAGCCAGGATTATGGGCATGTGCATCCAGAATGTGTAGGGGGACTCAGAATGGAACTGAGATCTTCTGTATGGATCTGGCATTGATTGAGCAGTGTGTTACTGCTGAGCCACTGAGCTGACCCATGACTGACCAAGTGGTTTGAATCCCAGCCCCAGGACTTGAAAAACATGCTGAGCATGTGTGTTGTATGCCCCAAGTCCTGACAGGATAGAGAAATGGAGGAGAAAGGATTGTGGTGTGGCTATGACTCATTGGGGAGTACTTTTTCCTTCTTCATCTGGCTCTCTGTCTCTCTCTGGCAAGTACATCTGCCTTCTGGCTGGCTGGCTGGTTGGCTAAATACTTAGATAGATAGATAGATAGATAGATAGATAGATAGATAGATAGATAGATAGATAGAACAGAATAAAATAGAACAGAATAAAATAGTATACTAAAGATGTTACTTTGATGCCCAAAAAATGGAAAGTCATGCTTTTTTCATAATGTGCATTTTCTGTGAATGTTTTAAGAGTCACTCTTTTTTTTTTTTTTTTTTTTTTTGGAGAGGTTTTTGTTCTAGGGCGTGTTTGCTCTCCAGAAAGACAGAGAGAGACGGAGAGACAGAAAGTGAAAAATCACCTCCTGGGGGGATCACCACACCTCAATCCCTTCTAGATCTTGGGCACACACACACACACGTGCCCAGTGTGAGTTTAAGCCACTGGGTTCAGGACTCGAGCCGTGGTCGACTAGACGGGAGTCTAGCAACGTAGCAATTTTGCCAACTGCTGGTCCCTAAGATTCACTCTTTTTATATATAAAAGTTGTTTTTATGGGTTACACTTTGTATTTGACTCCCTGAAACCTGCTAGGACTTCAGTTTGATTAATAGAATATAGAGTAAGTGTTTCAAGCGACTTCCAAAATAAGATCTAAGGAGGCTTCTGGGGCCGGCAGGTGGCGTGGTGGTTAAGGGCACTTGACTTCCACATTACTGACTGCGGTTCGAGTCCCAGACCTCGCAGCTTGCTTTCTATTTCCCTTCCTGGATCTGACTGTTTGTTTTCTCATTTTCGCTTTCTCTCTCATTCTGCCCCTCTCTGGTCAAATTAAAATAAATAGATAAAAGTTAAATAAAATAATAAAAAAAAAAATAGAGGAGGCTTGCAATTTTTACTTTCTCTGTGCTGTGAAGAAGCTTGACTGAAAGTCTATGTAGAGACAGGCTCAGCCATCCTAGATGTTCCAACAAGCCATGCTGAAAACCCAAACACGTGTCTAAGTCTGTATTAAATGGCCAGGCTTGAGTTGACCTGGCAGCTGATCACAACCCCATATGAGTTCCTACAAAATTGGCTCTCCTGTCAACCCATACAAAGAGAAACAATAAATGGTATTGCTTGAAACCACTAAGTTTTTTTTAATTTGTTTGTAATACATTCAGTAGATATCTAATATAGTAATGTACCTATTTGGAACATACTGTTCTGATTTTCAACCATAATAGTTTTCTTAATGCTCAACTTGGGGATTTACTTGGGGAAAATTTTATCTTCCATTCAGAAAGAATACTAGTTGTGTTAACATGGGCTGCATCATTTTCTACAGGCAACTGCCTTGGGGCCTCAAATTGTTACATTGGTACTGTGGATTATTTCTATTTAAACTTAATTGATTTGATTGAACATGAGCAAACTAGGTGCAGAGGAGTTTATTACCAAGAGTTATTAAGGAGTTTTCAAGGGGTTAGGGCACGAGGGGGGGGGGGGGATAGTGTTCCAAGCTCAAAGAATTATCTGGGATTGTTTGACTAAATTTGCACTAATGTGAAAAGTGGATAGGATTTATAAATCAGTGGAATTACTATAGAAGTCAAGATTCTATAATGGTAATAATTGCTAGTATTTATTTAATGTTTTTTATGCCAGAAACGGTTGTGTTTTACAAATGTTAGCTAAATTATTCTTAACCATAGCTTTATGAAATAGATATTGTCATTCACTTTTTATAGATGAAGAACTTGAACACAGAGGAGTTAAGCAGCTTATCTAGGTCACACAGCTTTTAAGTACACTTGAACTCACATGATATTATACCATATTTAGTGTTCTTGATAGTAGGTTATGTTTTGTTTTTCTTCTAGATTACTCTGGAAAGTATAACAGAGGTGACTCAACTAAGTTTTGAATATTTTATTTATAGTTGGTAGAGATACAGTTAAAAGTTTTGAACACTCTATGAAAATAATACCATAATTACCTAGTTTTTCAAAGCAAACTCTGAGCAGATAATATTTCTAAAAATTAGTTTACCATATATAGTGTATTTTATGTTTTTTTACTTGTTTTGCCTCACTTAGGCAAAAAGTAGAAATAGAAAATTTAGTTTTGACCATATAATCTTAATGTGTTTGACTCCTCAGAATGCCACTGTATTCCAACACTATAAAAACCTGATTTATTTAAGAAGGCGAGGAGAGCCACGTCAGATTGTGAGATATATTAATCCTAAAGAGGTAAGGACACTATTTATTGATTAACATGTTATTATAAGAAAACTAAATCGCATGTGCTTGCCAGAGAGGTAGAGAGAAAAAGTGAGAAATTATCCCGTACAGGGGTTGGCCATACTGTGGTCCGTTCTCCTCCAATCTTCTCTTGGGATTTTGGACATGCACATTCCTGGTGTGTTTTTTGAGACTCCAGGTCTGAGACTTGAACTACAGTCAGCCATGTGGGAGTCCAGCACCTTAACTTCCACACCACTTGCTGGTGCTAAAGTTTTTCTATTTTATCTCTACTTGCTACTCATTGATTTCTGAAACTTCTGGTATTTTTTTTTTTAACTTTCTTAGGGCTTAATTTATCTTTTTCTAGATTCTTGAGGCAGAAACTTAATAAACTAATTTTCAATCTTCTTTTCTAATATACACATTTACAGCTAAAAATTTACTTGTGTGCTCTACTTTAGCTATATCCCACAAACTTAGGTGTCATATTTTAATTATCAGTCACTATAAAGTATTTTATACTTTATAAAATTTTTAGTCAGGAGAAGATTATTCTATGAAACTAATATTTTCTTTCAGACATGAAATAATTGAGGATAATTTAGGATAGCATTTATTTTTCTCCTCTAATCTAAAATAACAAGACACATGGTTGAGTTGGCTTTGAATAAAGGACCAAAAAAATTTTTTTTCTAGTTTTCATTTGATGCAGAACACTAAAATTGAGAAGACCTGTGAAATAACAATTCTATTTTAAAAGAATTATTTATTTTATTTTATTTATTATTGTTGTTGTTGTTATTATTATTATTTTTGGAGAGGTTTTTCACTATAGGGCACGTGTGCTCACCAGAGAGAGAGAGACAGAGAGATAGAAAGCGAGAAATCACCCCCCAGGGGGGATGGCCACACCGCATTCCCTTCTCCTCCATTTTCCTCTTGGGATCTTGGACA